GTTCAGCCATCTCCAGGGAAGCAGGGCTCCATCACACGCAATGGTTTCTTGGGAAGACAGATGCCATTCACTCCGAACATCCCCTCCACCCCTTCCTTCTTCTTCGCCCCAGCTTTATGTACTGAGCATGATGTCATATGGTATGGAATATCCCTTTGGCCAGCCTGGGTCAGCTGTCCTGGCTGTGTCCCCTCCCAGCTTCCCGTGCACCCCCAGCCTTCTTGCTAGCAGGCCAGCATGAAAAGCTGGAGAGTCCTTGACTGCTTAGCAAAAAACATCAATACATTATCAACATTTTTTCATCCCAAATCCAAAACACAGCCTCATACTAGCTTCTATGAAGATTATTAGCTCCATCCCAGCTGAAACCAGGACAAGGAAGCAATCACTCAATCAGCCAGTTCTGCACTTGTACAAAATCATACTTCACAGTCCACGATCAAGACCATCCATCATCATTCCCCTCCCACTCACAGTGTTGTCTGCCTCCAGAAATTTTAGAATGTTCTGCAAGAATTTCTTAAGAACAAGTACCCCAGTAAACATATATTCACCTGTTAAATCATACGCCTGAAGAATGCCTCCCATATTATCAAAGAAAATTCATAAAAATATTAAACAATTTTAATATATTAGGGCAAAATAGCTTCTTCTAATCATGATTCAGCTGCTGATCACAATTTGCCTCATTATTTCAGAGGTGGAATCTGTTACTTCAGGCCTTAAAATTCCATCAATAGGATCATGTTATAAAAGTCTGTTGCGTGGTTATCTCCCTATCCACTCAGTGGCACACCATGTCTTCTACTGATGATCATCAAAATGAATGTTGGAAGTAGGACAACTATTAGTTACATTATTTAACATCTTTTCACACCTGTTAGTGAAACAGCAAGGGCAAGGAATAGGACGCATGCGCTTACCAACAAATACTCCAGGTTACGTGTTACATACACCTGTCCAAGGACATTACAATTTTCACTACTTAAAACCTTTCCCTGTTGGGATCACCCTGCATGGCTCGACCTTAAGGAGAAGGAGCTGTGGCATTGATCTGCATGGCTCGACCTTAAGGAGAAGGAGCTGTGGCACTGAGAAGCTGGTAAACAGCTGGATATCTGCACGGCTCGGCCTTGAGGAGAAGGAGCTGTGGTAAACAACTAAGAAGAAGCGAGGAAAACAGGAACACCTGCAAGCAGCAATCCTGACTGTGTGAGGGGCGCGTGGACAGCGCGTGATATTTTGTATATAGCCAATTGCAATAGTGTGTGTAACAAGCTGTAACCAATCATGAGTGTGTGCGCAGTGACTAAGCGAAAATTATGATATATATTGGAGTCAGACAAGACAATAAACGGCTTCGGAATATAACTCTCATAGAGTTGTGAAGTCCATCCTTCTCCCGCATTTCCCCCCAAACACACTGCTTCTGAAAATCAGGGACAACAAAAATGCATTTGACATAAGTATCATGAAGATATTAAGAACTCAAGACAATTTCAGGAACAGAAATTCCCACCAAATTCATGTTCAGAATTCTGAAGCTCAAGACAGTGTTTCCCAAGATCTTTTCAATCTTAAATCAAAATTCTGTGTATTTCTTAAACATACACAAACAGCATTACCCCCAACACCCATCTCAGGGTGCTCAGCCATAAACTGCCTAATGGAAAGATTCAGACCTTTCTGAACTGACATACAGCTAAGCTATACAGTCCCATTACAGCAAATTTTATTTTGCCCGAAATAGGAACAGGGTCAAAAAAATGAATCTTACTTTTATGAGCAATGCACACTAGCACTGGTTTTTTTTTTTCATGTCTCTCAATCTGAATAACCCTTCCTCAAAACCACTCATTTTATTTGTCTGGCTGATTTGCAATTTGTGCTTTGGTTTTTTTTGTTTACACTTTAAACCACTCATTTACAGCAAACATAGGCTTTTAATCACCTTATCCTGAATAATACATTACTTATCTTCACTTGGACTACATATAACTATACTTATGGCTTGTTGGTGGCTGGTAGCACCGACAAAAATATTCTCAGATGCCAGCTAAGCACTGCATAAACTGATTCAGATCAAAAGAAAAGTGACACATAATATTATACACAGTATAGGCCTCCAAGATCTCAATTAGGAAGTAAAAACAGGTTCTTTATATATCCATAAATCAAACTACTGCCCCTATGACTAGACCAAGAATAGAGAACTTCTGGTTATCTAAACACTCAAATTAGAAAGGAAACTGAGAAGCAGAACCAAGATTTTCCATTAATTGTTTTGTAGGATAACCAACAGCCAAGGTGTGAAACACTACCCTCCACAAAGATTAGGTTAGTGTAATAAGCTGTCGTGGTTTAGCCCCAGCCGGCAA